ATTAGAGTGCTACCAGTTCCATGTTTTTTTTTTTGTTTTGTTTTCTTTCATTTTTAATGAACCTGAAAACATTTATCCGGCTTTTCTGCTGTCTCTGTGTGCACTGGTAGGCAAGTGTGCATGCGCACCAAACATGAGCGTGAGTGTGTGAGGGAAGCAGGAAATGTCTCAGCCTAAGAGCTACGTTTTGCAGTTTTTTTGATCAGAAACACTTGGTGGTGGTTTCCACCTGCCGTCCAGGCCTGAGTGAGGGAAGGATGGTGATGTGAGGGAGGACAGAAGGTCAGGGGCAGGCATTTTCCCTCACTATTGTCTTCCATGGAATGTTTTCAAAGGCCTTTCCAGCCCTGTCCGGCTGGTTTAGCCTAAACCCTCAGGCTGAGGAACACAGTACAACTTAACAATTCAGGATTACCATTTGTGGTGATATTTGGTTTCCTTTTCTTATGTATCTTTGTGGATAAAAATTGGACTGAGATAAAGTAGCCACTTAAGAAAGTAAGTGAACCATGTTGGAACAGATGTCTCTTCAGATTGGATGTCTGCGAAGTCCTCACCCTCTCGAGTTGTGCTTCTTAAGCATCTGTCTCGTGCTCCTAAAAAAAACCCTAGGAATTAGTGTATGGAATCTCTATATACTTGCGATTCACAACTAAATACGAAATTTCCCACTCCAGGGCATGAAGCAAAGCCAGGGTAAAGTTTTGCTAATAGGTTGAAACACTCAACCAAACTTTAGCTGTCTGGGTGGGACTTGTCACTCCCAGAGTTGTGATAAGAGCAGGGCCCTCTGCTTCAGTCTGTGTGCACCTGGCATTGCTCTGGGACTGAGTCCTCATCCCATGCGGAAGGTCTTCTGGGGGCCTGACATTCCTTGTTCCTCCTGTTCCTGGCCATGACCCCTTCCTCCTGTTTCCCAGTTCCCTGTGATTCCTCAGAAGACCAGTCTCTCCCTTCTGAGCCATGGCCTCCTGTGTACCCAGCTAAGCGGCTCTTCTCCCACCGAAACCCCTGAGAGAGGAGCTCCTACCCCCAGGGGCCCCCTGGGAGACTTTCTGGCTCTCTGCTGACTCTCCCCAAGGCCTACGTGAATGCTGCACTCTCCATCCGTCACCCTGGGATGCCCTTCCCCTCCTGACGCTTCTCTTCGCCCTGTGTATTCCACTATCACCCCTTAATGTCTGTCTGTGCCACTAGTTTTGCCCTGGGCCTTTATGTATCTCCGAGTCTTACGATGAACTTCTGGAGCAGGCAGTGTCCAACTTCTTTGCTATTCAGGGACCTGAGTCTGCCCCTTCCTCTCTCGCAGGCCCATTCGACACAGTGATCTCGTGCGTCGGGGCGAAGTAGCCAGGCAGGCTGCAGAGTCTGGGGCAGAGGGCTGGGAGAGATTTGGGTACTCCCTGTTACCACTACTGGGGTGATAGAAGAGAGGGGACCTCATACTGTGACCCGATCCAGGACCCTCCCCTGGAAGAGAGCTCAGCCCAGATGTGTGTGTGTGTGCACGTGCACACGCAAGCTCGTGCACATGGGTGTAAACTGACTTATCTGGTTGTGTTACTCAGGGTGGGCTGGGGACTCACCGGAAGGATCCCCTTAGCCTGCCCAAGACCGGTTTTTCCCTGTACCCTCTCCAGCGGGGTCAGGGGACAAGGGTCCGGGGGGTTGAGGGGGCTGCAGTGGATAACCACTAAGGCCATGTTGCTGCCGGGAAGAGTGGGGGGAGATGAGGTGGCCCCAGGGACCTGGCATCTGGCTTTGGTTTTCCGTCTTCTTTCCTCAGGACGCCCCCTGAGGCCTGGGACCTGCGCCTGGCTTTGAGCAGCACCTGCGGCCGGTGCTCCAGCCGCTGGTGTGGTCATGGGCTTCCCTCTCGGCGGGGCAGGTGCTCCTGCCCCAGAGACTGGGCAACTGGCTGTTTCTATGACGTATTTATTTTTACTTGTGTTTCATGTCACTTTTTTAAAAAAGCAAACAGAACAATTGTAAGTCAGTATAACTGCCTATCAGTTTTCTTTATTTCTCTTTTTGTAAAATAAAATTTAAACTCAAGAAGGCAGTGTTGTTTGATCAAGGGATTGTCTGACAGCTGTTCGACTGGATGGTAGTGAAAGGGATACAACTTGGAGCACAGTGGGTGCCGGGCCGGCACCTGTGGGGTCGGGGGAGGGCAGGTGGGAGCAGACACCAGACTGCTGGCAGGCTCTTGGTTGCAGTGGGATTCGCCGGCCTCTTCCTGTCGTGGCTCACCTGAAGAGGACTGCCTTTCCAGGCTCTAGAGGAAATGTGAAGCTGACTCAGGGTGGCTTGAGGTTAACTGGTCCTCGGTTATGGCACATCCTGCAGGGGCAGCCCTAACGAGGTTGTGAGTGTCTGGGGATTGGGCGCAGCATCAGTGCCTTCAGAAAGTGGGAGGTGGCTAGTGGCAGGGTTTGCAGAGTCTCACACACTAACCACTGCCTCGGAACTAACCCGGGCTTTGGAACAGGAGGAGGTAGGGGAAGGGGGAGACAGTCCACTCTGGTTCTCCAAGTTTGGACCTTTAAGGGGAGGAGCCCTGGGGGAACATTCTCTGGGAATTTATTAAGGGAGAATTAAAGAGCTTCTGTGGGGATTCCTTGGACAGGGGAAAGCAGGAGGAGACAAAGGCTAAATCTGGGCTCCTGAGAGGAGAATGTGCTATTGGGACACAGAACTGGGAGTGGAGCGGTGTGTGGGGCAGGTACCAAGTTGAGCCTCTCAGTTCCGAGTTACCTGCGGGAAGAGAAAAGAGCTTTGTTTGCTGCCGCCTGGTGGCCAGCGAAGGCCTTGCAGGGGTCCTACCAAGGACCTCTGTTGGGAGCAGCCTGAGATTCTGAAGCCAGGGAGGCAGAGAGGGCTTGCAGTGCTGGTCACAGGCAGACTCTTTTCACGACTCCTAAGGCACACCATGAATTCTGATGTGGGGCCCTGGAGTTCCCCAGCTAGGCTAAAGCAAGTAAGCAGAGAGGACAAGATGAAGAAAGAACAGCTCCGGATAATGGTTTCTTGAGAGAAGTTCCTCAGCTTCTGAGAAGCAGAACCGACTGTGCAAATCCCACAGGCAGAGGCCGTCTGTCTCAGCCAGTGCGCTGGTCCTTCTTCGTGTCACAGAAAATGCTTCCAAGCGTATTGCCCACTTGCTTAGGGCACCTAAAGTGTTTCATCATGATCATAAGCAAAACAAGACTGCCACAACCCTGCCAGCCTAGCCCTCCGTGCCTGTGGGCTGCCCCTTCGGCCAGTTTGCCCAAAGGGCCGGGACAGGCTTGCCCCTGGGGATGAGGTTCAATCTTCCCAGCCTGATGAAGGAAGAATGTGAAACAAAGGGAAAGGAAGCCAGGATTACAAGTGTCTCTGTGCCCAGCCTGCCCTTTGCTAGTGCGGCAGTGGGCTCCACGGTACCACCGCACTCCCGAGCATCAGTCACCCGTGTCAGGAGCAGCAAGGTAACTCTTGGCCCAGCCTGTCTTGTAGCCAAGCGTAGGAGCATAGTTGTCCTCTCCACAACCCCTCCACTGCAAGACTGGGCCTCTCAGGAGGGCAAGGTTTTTCTTCGGGGCCCTAGAAGAATGCTTTGTCGTTTGTAGGTCCTCAGAAATAGGAGCTGAAGATTGAACTTGTCTTCAAAGAGCTGACACTTGACCTGGCAGTTACCCAGTACACACTAAACTAGAAGGGCTGACCCGCCACATCCAGGGCGGAGCCTGGGGCGGAGGCGTTCCGCTGGTGAGCAGAGCTCCAGGAGGATGGGTCTTTGTTTTGTTCATTCAGTACCCTTAGCCCCTAGAACTGCCCTAGCAGGGAGTGGTACTCAACCCACGTGGAACGGATGACAGCTTCTCCCTGTGCTCCGGTTAGGGAGTGAGGTGGGGTGGAATGTTGGAGGCAGGAAGCTGATATTTATGCTGTCCAGAGCTTGGATCCACCAGCTTCTTCTCTGAGTCCAGAATGGACTTCAGTTCCTCAGTTGTAAAACGAGAGCAAGTGGCCCTGCCTTGCTCGGTTCCCAGGTCTGTCGCGAAGCCTCAGTGGGAGAAACTGGCAGGACCACAGACGGTGCAAATGCCGGAGGCTGATACTGCTGGGCCGCACTCCCCAAACCTCTTCAAACGCTCCTCTCTGGTGCCGGCTTCCTGGACCCCAGACTGGCTCTACTGCGGGCCCCCCGGCGGATTTCTCCCGATGCCAAGTTCTTCGCTCAGGCTCCCGCGGCAACCAGGTAGTTTGTGAGAGGCAGAAAGGTGCCCAGTGGACTCCGCCCCTGACAGCTCCGGGAGATATGCGCACGCTCGTTGTCATGGAAACGGGGCGGGGCAGGCCTCCGCCCTTCGGGT